CAAATAATAGTGAGTTACAGACAAAAGAGGTAGGAGTTTATCAAGAGTTGTTGTGCTATACTTTGGTATCTTCAAAGTGGCTTCTAAAGAAAATAAATAGAGCTATACATGAGTGACCTATTGAAAAATCATTAACTATTCTCAATGGTTGTTGTAGGAAACACATAATAATAAACATACATTATGAAATAGGATAGGAACATTACAAACTTAACACAGTTATGGATAGATTAGTAGGAAAATATCAATGGCTGCTGTAATACGTGGTGGTATCTTCAAAGTGGTTTCTCAGGAAGACAGAGATATGCAAGAAGGATCTAATAAGTAGTTACAGCCTAAGGGTTGTCAAAAATAGCATATTACCTCCTCGAGGGGCCTTTTAAATTTGCAGTGCTGGGGATGGAGCCCAGGGCCTCCTGATGATGTGCAGGTACTCACCGCTGAGCGGCACCCACGGACCTCTTCTGTTCTGTCAGGGACTTGCTGTAATGCCCAGGCTGGCCTTGAACTTGTGGTCCTGCTGCCTCAGTCTCCTGAGTAGCTGGGATTACCTGTGTGCATCCCTGTGCCTGGTGTGGCGTGGCCTCTTGGTGCAGATATTAATCTACCCACCCACCCAGCCATCCATCCCACAAATGCCTGAGCACCTCCAGGATAGGGTCCACACCCGCTCAGGGGGTTTTCTGTAGCTGCCCGCCCCTGTGCAATTGTGGAGGAAAGGGGCTGAGGTCAGCCTGCAGGGAGGACTGTGAGTCCGGGTCTGGTTGTTCAGGCAACCAGCAGGCAGTGCCCACATCCTTGCCCCCACCAGCACAGACGACAGTACTGAGTACAAGCACCTTGTGGCCTGGAACTCCCCAGTCACGCTGCTACTGGCTTCCGGGGGCCTGGGGAGTGAGCAGGGGTCCTCGGGAGGGAGAGAAGGAGATGTGGAAGGCCAGGCTCCTTGGGACACACCCAGGCCTAGCTGGTCAGGTCTGATGAGGGCCTTGCCACTCCAGGTGGGCGGATGGTCACAGGAGGGTCTCAGATGGCCTAGCGGTGCCCCCTGCAGGTTGCCTGGGGAAATGACTCTTCCGGCTGTGAGGCAGGGCTGTGCCCGGAGCCCCAGGGTCCTGAGGGTGGGCTTAGGGAGCCGCAGTCCTGTGCGTGGAGCCAGGATGAGCAGTGCCACGGGGAAGTGTCCTCTGCTCCCAGGGCAACCCCAGCAGTGTGGTCTGCCCAAAAGCACACCCCAAGGGGGCTCCGGGGCTGCCCCTCTGTGCTGCTGTTTCCCAGGCGGCCCCACAAGGCCTGGTGTTGGGGGACCTCCTCAGCAGGGCCAGGGACCTGGGCTCCGCACACCCAGGGCAGCAGAGGGTGCTGAGAGGGAGGTCCTGCCAGCACCAATATCCTGGGGCTTCCGGAAAGCCAGTGCCAGCTTGAGGGGAGCTTCCGGGAGCTTGTGGGGCATGCAGTGGCCAGTGGCTTGGACTCTGAGCCCGACAGCAGGGTGGGCTGGGTGGCACCTGACTTCCAAGGGAGCTGGGGCTCTGGGGGGCCCTGGGGCCTGCAGAGTTGGGGGACCTGGGGAGGCAGTAGCACTTTCCCAGTCGCAAGGATCCTGACCACATGGGGGTGACTCAGACTACCTGATGGGCCCCATGCAGCCCTTGAGGGGCCTGGGCTTCTCTGTGGGGATCCAGCCTAGGCTGTGGGTGGCGGTGCTGGCAGGATGAAGGGGCGGTGGGTGGGCAGGGGCTGTGCATCCCCTCTGCTGGTGAGCTCTTATTCTATCTGGTGACAGAACCAAACCCATAGCCAGATGTGCCTGTAATTCCAGCACTCAGGAGGCTGAGACAGGAGAATCTCCTCGAGTTCAAAACCAGCCTGGAAGCCAGGCGTGGTGGTGCGCACTTGTAATCCCAGTACTCGAGAGGATGAGGCAGGAGAGTCATTGTATGTTCGAGGCCAGCCTGGGCTACAAAGTGAGCTCAAGTCCAGCCGGAACTGCACAGTGAGACCTTGACTCAAAAGGACAAAAGAAAAAGAAAAAAGAAAAAAAAAGACCAGCCTGGGCTACATAGTTCAAAGCTAGCTTGGACTACATAGTATGACCCTGACTCAACTAAAACAAAACAAAATAAAACAAAACAAACTACAAACTGGGTGTGGTGGCTCGTGCCTATAATCCCAGCACTTGGGAGGCTGAGGCAAGGAGGATCGCAAGTACCAGGCCAGCCCAGGCTACAAAGTAAGTTTAAGCCCAGCTTGCACTATATAGGGAGACCCTGTCTCAAAACCCAAACCAAACCAAACCAAACCAAAAAACCCCAAATAAACAAAGCAAAACAAAAAACACTTGACTGGGGATTCTGCCAGTTATTCTCTCAGCCTGGAGGCTGGATGTTGGGAGCAAGTACTGATGCGCTGGGTTGGGGGAAGGCTTCTTGGCCTGCACATGGCCACCTTCCTAGTGTGCCCTCAGTTCCAGAGTGCCCTGGTCTTCTTCTAACTAGGACACTAATCCTACTATGTCCCTCCCGTGACCTCCTGTGGCCCTGATCATGTCCTTCAACCTCCACCTCCACGGGTACGGCCTTGGGTTTGAGCTTTAGCACATACATTTTTGGGGTCTCAAACATTCCATGCATAGCTGGGATTCCACTGCAGGCTGGGCCACCCCATGGGAGGGGGTTCTGTGGCCCTGGCCTCCCAGGCACTGGGTGGTCAGCCTCCTTCTTGCTGTTGGGCATGAGGGCTGAAAGGCGGCCCCCAGGCATCCCCTGCTCCTTGTCCCATCTGGGCAGGGAGCCCATGGGGCAGCAACTGCGTAGATGTCAGGGACACAGGGCTGCGGAAGTGCGGGCCCCTCTGTGTGCCCAGCTGGGGTCATGTTTATCCGCAGAGGGCCAGTGCCAGGCCCCCGCCCGGCCGTGCGGCCTGAGTTAACTCGGCTCCAGGATAAATACCCATTCAGTCACACAAGGGCCCTTTGTCCCACAGAGAGGCTCCAGCCCAGGACACTGCCGGGTGGCTACTGTCCTCGGCATGGCCCCAGGCCCGGCCGGCTGCCCCGACACGTCCAGCCGCCCCACGGGGCCTGCTCTGGGCAGACTCGACTTGGCTCTGAGAGGCCCAGTGGGGAATGGGACCTCGGAGATCATGGAGGAGCTGGGAGGCCAGGTGGGTAGAGCCAGCAGGAGGGCTGGCTGCCTCCTCAGGCCTCTTTGGAACAGTCTTGGGGCCTGCAGTAGGGCCACCCTGTCTGCCTATCAGGGTACCGTGGGCAGGTGAGGGTGAGCAGTGGGCAGCTGTTGGGAGCCACTGGAGCTGGTTATTGGTCAGGCAGTCAAGCTACCTCAGTACTGAAAAAGGCATCCTACCAGACAATTAGTCGTTAGTCTCTAGGCAACATTACCCCCCATGATACTAACTTTGCAAGTGTATAAAATAAACGCCCCTATTGTTGAAGTCAGTCCTCCGGCTCATTGGGCAAGAGGGGACTCCACCTGACCCCGGCTCTTGTCTCTTATTTTTCTCATACCCACCGCCGTTTCTCTCTGGGGTACAACGAGAGACCAACGATGTTCCCTAGAGGCAGCCTGCCCTCCTTGCAGCCCCAGCCCCACCCACCACCCACAGGTGGAGGGAGCGGCCACACTGCTCAGTCTCTGGAGGTCCCCAGCAGCCAGGCCCCTCCTGGAGGGAGTGCAGGTGCAGTGCGGTGCCGGCAGGGAAGAGTAGGGTGGTTCCAGCGGGCCAGCCAGGAGATCCTGGGCATCTGGAAGGACAGAGGGGCATGGACAGTGGGAATGGGACCCCAGGACAGCAGCCCAAGGCCCAGGGCAGGGTAGCTGCCCCATTCCCTGTGAAGCTGACTCAGGTCCCCGCCCCAGCAATGTGGGCATGGCCACACAGCATCCTGCCCAAAGCAGGGCTGAGACAAATTCCCTCCCTGCAGGGGACTGTGGATACCCGTTGGCTGGCCTAAGCCCTGGCATGGGGGGTTCCCGAGCCACACTTCCGAACCCCATCTTAGGTCTTGGGTTCCCTGATGGCCCACAGGCTCCTTGGAACCCCCTACCCTGTGGTCCATGGCTGGCAGTGCCCCCTGGTGGTGTCCCAGATCCCCTGCAGGCCTGCAGGGAGTCCATTGAGCAGGTTCAAGGCTTCTGGAGGGGCCACGTGACCGGCCTGGGTGGCACAGCACTCTTCAGGAGGATAGAGCACACTCACCTTACAGTCTGCCCGCTTCCTGGACACTGGCTGTCACCAGGCTCCGGGAGTGGGCCAAGTCCCGTGCCCAGGGCTTCTGGGATGTTGCTGTCTGTTCAGAGGGGAGCCGGGGACCCACCCTGTGAGGCCCCTGAGCTGCACCCCTGTGCCTGCGGACCTGCTGACTTGACACTTCCTCACCTCTCGGGTCTTCGAGACACTGTCCGCCCCGGGTTGTGTGTCTGTCCTGCCGAGCCCCGGGGTGGCCTGTGTACTCCAGAGCGCGGCTCTCAGCACCGTCCCCCCCACCTCCGGGTGGGGCGGGGGGGCTGGGGAGTGGGGGCCCTGCCTTCTGTCTGAAACAATCTCTTCCTCAGAGAAACCTGTCTGACCTGTGCCCCTTGCCACCCACAGGACAGTGGCTGCACAGACTGGTAGTCACCAGCCACGTCCGCAGACCTCTCTACCCACACGAGGCTGCCAGCCAACACCAAACCCACTGCTACGCCCTGATGGCTGCGGGACCGTCCTCCATGAACACCTGGGTCTGTGTGGCTGATCTAGGGTCCACTCCAGCCCAGGACCAGGTGGCCAGCTGTACCCCAAATGGCAGGACTCAAGCCTCTTTGGCCAGGCATGTCCTGGCCCCTTCACCGGGGAACAGAGACCAGGCAGGCTCAGGGGCAGTTATCAGGGCCAGGAGGGATGCCCGAGGGCCAGTGGAGCAAGGGCTGGTGGGTTGGCTCTGCCTCAGCCCACAGCTGGGACACTGCATTGTAAGCAAGACCAGGATGGCGGCAGAGTCTGAACTTAAGGGAAACTTTATTTAGTCCTCTTTTAAAGACAATCTAGTTTCAGACAGACAGACAGACGGACGGAAAAACAGACAGGCAGGCAGGCAGCAGAGCCCATTGGCCATGGTGCCAGTCAGATCTTCTCCATCTTGGAGATGAGGTCATCACAGATCCGGGTCAGCTCATCGTTCTCCTTGCTCTGAGGACAAACAGGGGCTGGGTCTCTGCAGGAGACTCTCAGAGGGAAGCCAAGGTGGCAAGGGCGGGGCGGATGGGCCATGCTCACCTTCTGTTCTACAGCCTTCTCCAGGGAGTGGATCTGCATCTGCGCCTTCCTTAGGTTTGCCTGGAAGGCCAGCGCCTCTGCCTGGGCCTTGCTGCGGACCTGGGCGATCTCCTCGTTCGCCCTGCAGGGCAGAGAGTGGAGACTGAGCAGAGGCCAGGCCAGGCCCACCTCCCTCAGCTGTGCGGGCACTCACAGCCTGAGCTTTTCTTCCGCGTGGGCCTTCAGCGCCTGGTACCGCTGGGCCTCCTTCTCCACCCTGGCAATGTAGCCCTCCACACACTTCTTCAGTGATTCCTCGTTCTGTGGGATGGCAGACAGGACCCGTGAGCAGTATAAGGTTCCCTCAGAGACCATCCAGCATGGCATGGGAGGCCCAGGGTCACACAGACCCATCACGCTTCGGGGCACAAGCAGTGACTCAGGACTTCGGGAAAGATCCGCACACACAGTCCCCCTGGGCTGGGACCTCTGCCTGTGGTCTGGCCCTGGGGATCTCAGCTGCATAGCCCCTAGCCTTGTGCTCTGACCTCTCTGGCAGGGCTGGTCCCCAAGCTCATAGCTGTTGCCCTTGGCCATCTTCTATGCCAGTCTCCACTGTCCTGGGCCTCCCTACTTGGTCCCACCCAGTACCTCCACTGAGAGGCCGGGGCTTCTGCTGCCCCATGCCTCTGGAGTGGCACCCCCAGCCCGCTGCCCTGGCCTGTGCACAGGATCCGACCCACAAAGGGAGGTGTCGGGGGGAGAAGACTGGAAGCACCTTCTGGTAGCCTTCAATCACTTCCTTCTGCTTCTCAAAGCGCTTGAAGAGGTCAGAGAACGACTTCTCCATGGAGCTCAGGTCGGCAGTGAGCTGGTCTCGCTCCCCGAGGACCTTTTGGATCTCAGCACTGGCAAGCTCCTTCTGTCTCTGGGCATCCTCTACAAGGAACAAGTGCTCCAACTGGGGCAGCCCCAACGTGAGGGGTGGGGTAGCACAGGGCAGGCAGGTGCGGACCCTGGCAAGTGACCCGTGACATAGGCCCAGAACATGGTGGCCCCACAGGGAGGTCCAGGATGCACCCCATTCCCCCAGGCGGTGGGTGAGAAAGGGATACCGAAAGTGGCCTGGGATACAGGCTGCTACAGGTGGGATGGCACGGGCGGGGACCACGGCCCTAGTGGCCAGCTCGGGGCACAGTGGTGCCAGGCACTTAGTGGCTGGGGACACAGTACAGGGGATGGGGCCAGCACTCACCCATTGCCCGGTACACGACCCCCTCAAAGCCGTCCATGATCTTCCTGTGGAAGGGAGGGGAGGGTGAATGCCAGGCACCCACAGACCTGGTGAGCACCAGGGATTCATGGCAGACAGACCTGGCACGCATGGCCCTTACCCCATCTCCAGGTTCTTTCCTTGTAGCTCCTCACACCGGCGCCTCAGCTCCTTATTCTCCTTCTGGGCTGCGCTCACCTGCAGGGCCCAGCATCCGTCAGCTCCTGGGGTGCCCCATGGTCGGCGTCCACCCGAGGGCTTTGGAGCCATCACCAAGTCTCAAGAGCCCTGGCCATGGTGAGGCTGCTGGCTGCGTGTCTCTGCTTTTGTGGGCAGGCAGTTGCAGGGCCCATAGAAGGGTGGGGTGGTGGGGAGAAGGCCAGGCCCCAAGGATAAAGGCCTGCTGCTAGGCCCTGGGTCTGTTGGGGTCACTGCTTGGTTGAGACAGGCTGCCCACCTAGCTGTCTACAGCAGCCTGGATAGATCTGGTCCAGGTGAACAGCACAGCTGAGGGTGTGTAGCCTCAGGGGCCATAGAGCCTCATGGAGAGGACACAGGGTGTGAGCCAGCCCTGTAACCAGGACTCCTCTGGTTAAGACAATCATCAGGCAAGCAAGCAGCTCGGAGCAGGGCCAACACACCACAGGTGCTCCTCGTAGTGAGCCAAGCCTGAGCTAGAACAACTTGAGCCTCCACGTATGTGCCCGGAGGACGGCCAAGGCCCTGGGGACCAAGAAGCAGGGGCTGAGGCCCCAGGGAAGGTATGGACGAGACCTCTAAGCTATCTGGCCATCCTTTCTCCTAGGCCTAGTCCCCTCCCTCAGGCTGGGTGATGGCCTTGTTTGGGGAGAAGCTGTGGCTAGGCTGCTGGGATGTTCAGCCCCTGGAGGCAGGGCCAGGCTCGAGTTGGGAGGGAAGAGGAAGCAGATGCCTGCAGCTCTACCTCAAGTGGCAAGGGCAGGGACAGCTGCCAGGACTGCTGGATGCAGTGACGGTGCCAGACCCTATGCTCAGACCCCCAAGCCCAGCTCCTGGCACTTACTCCCTGGGGCACCTGTGTCCTTACCGCCATGTCTAGGTCGCTCTGGCTGTACTGTAGCACATCCACGATGGGCATGGGTCGGGTGGGTGGGGGAAGGCCACCAGGCTCCAGGACACTTGGGGGCGGGCCCGGCACCTGGGGGCACAGACACCGAGCCATTGCCCAAGTGCACCAGGGAAGTGCAGCCCACCTGGCCAGCAGGAGCTGGGGGCCAGGGCTGCAAGCAGGCAGTGTCTACCGTTCGGGGAGGGACTGGCCGCAAGAACCCTGTTAGCAGTGGAGCAGCCAGCGACCTGGGCCCCTCGCCTGACCCCCAGGTGCAGACTCCCATGATTGCAAGGTACCTCCCAACTATCTGCATCTCCTTAGACTACAAGACGACCACTCCAGGGACAGAAGTACTCACGGGGACGTCCAGTGCGCCCAAGAAGTCCAGTTCCACAAGCTTGCCTTCTGGCAGGTTCCCCAGGGAAGGTTCGCCTGTATCCTGCACGCTGGGACCAGACAACAGCCAGTCATGCCATGCCCTTGAGGTGCTGAGTGGACCCACAGAGTGGGGCACTCAGGGCCCTGCACACGCTAGGCAAGTGCTCTGTCACGGAGCGATCTCTTCCCTTTCTCTCCCCTCCCCTCCCTTCTTTTCCTTCCTCCTTTTCTCTCTTTTCAAGACAGGTTCTCACTATGTACCTCAGGCTGGCCTGGAACTCACAGTAATCCTGCCTCAGCCTCCCAAGTGCTGGGATTATAGGTGTGCACCACCCCCAACCCTGCAACTATTTCTTTAGAGGGGATGGGGTTTCACTCTGTTGCCCAGGCTGACCCTGAACTCACAAAGCCTCTTGCCTCAGCCTTCTGAGTAGCTGGGACTATGGGTGTATAACACCACGCCCAGTCCTTTTTTTTGTTGTTTTTTTTTCCAGTACCAGGAATCAAATTCACATCCGTGCACTTGCCAGGCAGGCGCTGTGCCGCTGAGCTAAATCCCCAGCCCCTGATGCCCCAGTCCTAATGAAGCTTTTTTCTTTTTTCTTTTTTTGGTTTTTCTCCGGTACCGGGAACCGAACTCATGACCTTGCGCTTGCCAGGCAGGCACTTTGCCGCTGAGCTAAATCCCCAGCCCCTCTTTTTTTTTTTTTTCTCAAAGACAGGTTCTCACTATGTAGCTCAGGACAATCTTGAACTATGTAGTCCAGGCTGGCCCTGAATTGATGATCCTCCTGCCTCAACGTCCTGGATGCTGGGACTCCAGCTAGGCCTGTACCACAGTGCCTAGTACACTGCTGGGTCTCTCCCAGAGTAGGGCTCAGTCTGGGGTTTTCCACAAATGTCAAGAGCTAAATGTTTTGGATTTGAAGGCCACATAGCCTCTGTCACTGCTCTGCTCTGCCCTGCCCTGGACTGTGGGTGGCCAGAAAGAAGCTGTTATGATTGCGGGCCAAGGAACTTCATCAACAAACAGGTAGAATGTAGCCTGTGGGTTGTGGTTTGCTGACCTCTGTCCTATAGCACCTGCTGTCTATGCTTAAGAGCTTTCGCCCACCTTGGGAGGTGGGCAGCATGCAGGACAAGCAAGACAGGCATCCCTTGGTCACCCGAGGATGGCTCCAGGCTCCCTTTCCCACTCACTTGTTAACCCGACCCAGCCCTACAAGTCTGATCACTCAAGTACCTAGTGGCAGGCACTTGCCTTTTGGGCCCACACACCTGTCAGTCACCAGGACCACGGGCACTGGCCGCTCAGGGCTGTCCTTCAAGAGCGGGTCGAATTTCAGGTATAAGGACTGTTTTCTCCAGGCCGATTCCTTAAACTGGGAGGACAAGGGCAGGTCAGCAACTGCGCTGCCGTCCCTGTGGGTGGCTATTCTGGGGGGTCGGGGGACCTGTTCCCTGGGGTTTGGAGTTGGTGGCCACAGTTCTGCCTCGGGCACCCCCACCTAGCAGTGTGGGAATCCCTGCTCATCCTCTGGCGGGCACCTGGGCTGGGAGTCAAACAGCTGCAGAACAGCGAATAGGTGGCATGTGTGCCGTGGGAGTGCTGGGTCGAGTGCCAGGCTCGTTTCTAGTGACAGGGCCATGGGTGGCTTATGGGACACGTCCACATGTGGCTGGTACCTACCGAGGATGTCCCGAACTGCTCTAGATAGTCCACCTCTGCACCAGTGCCTAGAACTGAAAGGGATCAAGTCATGTCACAGTCACCTCTCTGTGGCGCAGGCCCAGCAGTCCCCAAAGTGCCTGGCAGGGTGGGATCACAGTGCTTCAGGGATGCAGGTGTGGAGAGTGCTCCCAATTCTGGGGGAGCAGTGCTGGGGCCACTGCAGTGCCCCTGGGGAGAGACCCCTCCTCTCTACCCTCACTCGCTCAGTAGAGACAAGTTTTAAAATGTTTCCTGAGTCGGGTGCAATGGTGCACACCTGTGATTTCAGCTATGCTGAGAGGCTGAGGCAGGAGGACTACAAGTTTGAATTCAGGCTGGGAAACTCATTGTGACCCTGTCTCAAAATAAAAAATAAAAAGTGGCTAGAGATGTAGCTCAGTGCAAAAGCCCAAGATTCAATCCTCAATATTGGGGGGTGGAAGGCCTCTCACCAAAGACATTTAACCCATCAATAGGAGGCCAGCTATGTTTTCAAGTCACATAGCTGGTAAGAGGTCCTGCACAGCTCAGGCCTAAAAAGATAATTTAAAAGATGGACATAGAATTTGAGTAGATAGCACTCAGGAGGCTGAGGCAGGAGGACAGCTGTGAGTTCAACGCCAGCCCAGGCAACAAAAGTGAGTTCAAGACCAGACTGAACTGCATAGTGAGACCCTATCTCAAAAAGACCCCCCCCAAAAATAAATAAATAAATAAAAGAGTTTGAGTAGATATTTGTCCAGATATACAAGTGGCTAACAATACATCAAACAAAGCTCAAAAGCTGCTGTTCAGCCATCAAGGAAACACAGATAAAAGCACAGCTACTGCTGCACACCTGGGACGGAGGTGTCACGGCAGCAGAGAGAGCAAGAATGAGGAGGGCGCAGAGGACCGCGCCCTACCTCTGTGCCCACCATGAACTGCTGCAGTCACCACAGCAGTCTGGCGGTGCCTCTGAGAGCTAGCTGTGGTGGAAGGTCCGAGGGTTTCGCACCCAGGTCTACATCCAGAGAGACGAAGATATGCACACAGAACTTGTGCCTAAGTGCTCACAGCAGCACCACTTACAACAGCTAAGCGGGGCCACGGACCAAACAACGCACTGACAGGTGCACAGAATAGCGGGGCCTGGACTTGGCCTGCCACGGGGGGCACAGACACCAAGGCTGTGTTCTGTGCGATGGACGCCAGGGCCACGGGGGGAGGCACGCCTGCCTCAGCCAAGCTCATGCTCACGTAGCAAGGACTGGGACTTCAGTGCCACAGAAACACCCCACCTTCTGCCCATCTTCTCAATGACTGTGGGGTTTGGGCAGTACCAGGGATTGAATCTAGGCCTTAAACACTGAACTACATCTGCAGCCTTTAAAAAAAAATTTTGGGGGGCGGGTACCGGGAATCAAACTCAGGACCTTGTGCTGGTCAGGCAAGCGCTTGTGCTATATCCCTGGCCCCCAAATTTTTTGTTTAATTTTGAGACAGGTTTTTCTGTCACTAAGTTGCCCAAGCTGGGCTCAAATCTGTGATTTTCCTGCCTCAGCTTCCCAGAGTGCTGAGATTATGGGTATGTGCCACCATGCCCTGCAGACTGTGGGTTAAGCAACCCAAACCGAGGTCCTTTAATTCAGCCACAAGCTCTCACTACATGCACTTCGATGTTATTTCTCTGGCACTGGTGGACACGCACTGGTTGGCACCCACTGGCTTACTGTGTCTGTGTCTGACTGGGGCATTTTCTAGCTCACCTCTTTTACCTGTGTTTCTTTTTCTTTCTTGTGGTGCTTGGCTTCCCACATTTGAAGAAAGTGCTCTGCTCCTGGGCTACTTGCCCAGCCCTTTCATCTGCTTTTCCACATCTTCTATTTCTATCCCTAGAAGCCCTTGATAGTGGAGGTACCCATCTTGCTGCTCTACCAGGAAGCCCCATCCTGAGGGGCAGATGCTGTGTCTACATCACTTAAAGTCAGGGAACAGAGTAGGCTGCAGAATGGTCACCTGTAAGTGGCACAGCTGAGCCAAGCAGCAGAAAACAGGTGCCCATGGGACCGAGACAGAACACCTTGCTACGTACCCTCAGCAGGGTCTCTGAAGTTCTCTTCCTCCAGGTTCAGGATGGGCTGCAGGCTGGGCTGGGAGGGGGCCGGCAATGGATGATCCAGGCCGCCCGTGGGAGCCGAGGCGTCTGAGCAGCTGGAGCTTCCCTCCTGGGGGGGGGGGTGTCAGTGTCACTCCCTGACATCAAGGGCCCCAGTGGGGCTCTGGGGAGGGGGGATGGCAGTGCAGACTGCCTGGGCTCTCTGCACATCACAGGTGCTGGCACTGCTGTGGGACATGCCATGCACACACCTGTACCCGGCCCTCTGTGTTCAGGGCGTCAGCCACTGTCTGCACCGCAGGCCTGTCACCCTCTGGGGCTGTGCACAGCTGCCTGGAGAAAGAGAGAGAGGCAGCACGTCACCCCCCACACCCTGCACCCCAGAACCGGCTGCCCATCTCCCTCACAAGGCTGCAGGGGTCCCCAAGGCAGAGCGCATGCTGGAAGGTACGTAAGAATGACTGGCAGTCAGGGTGCCCTAGGGAGGTCCTGTCAAGGTCTGGATCTGGGGAGCACAGAGCTGCTGCTCAGAAGGTCTAAGCTGGGCCCCAATACCAGACATAGTCTCTTGCCCACTGCACTTACTGGCTTGGATTCAAGTCCTTTGCAGGTGGCGCCAACCTGGCCCCAGGGCTTTCGGCGGGCTGGGCTTCTTTGCTGGCCAACGTGGAGCCACCTCCAAAGGGGTTGAAGTTTGGGTCATCCAGCTTGTCCCAGTTGAGGTGGTAGGAGCTCTGGGAAGCCGGCGCAGGGACCTGGTCTGCTCCTCTGGCCCCATCTTCCTCTTTTGCTTTCTCAGGGGCCTGTGGCTGCTTCTCCTTGGGCCTCTTTCCTTGTCTCCGTGGTGGAGCTGCCCTTTTGCTTGTGGCCCCATTAGAGAAGTCAAACTCTAGCTTTATGGGCTCGAATTTTGGATTAATGGCTATTTGGCTGGCAGCTTCCTCTGTCTGGGAACCTGGGCTGGCCACGGCCAGGTTCTGAGGGCCAATCAGGCCTGCAGGGGGTGCGCCTGCATCTGGGCTTCCAGGAGTAGGAGGCTGGATTGGGGCAGAGCTGGAGGGGCTCCCTCCCAGGGCTGTAGGAGGAGTACCCATTTGGTGTTGGGGTGCTGTCCCAAGAGGGTCTTTGAGGACCTCAGTGGTGGGGGGCATGCTTTCAGGTGAGGAGTGAGAACTAACACTGTCCTTCAAGGCCTGGCCAGCACTGCCAGACTTTTGTCCTGGAGACAACATCTGATTTTCAGGACTTCCTGGGCTCTGGGCAGAACTTGAGACACTTGAGTTAGCCAGGTGTATCAGGCCAGGCTTGCAGCAACTGTCATCTTCAGAGGCCGAGGTGGTGTCCCCTGGAGAAAGGCCAGAACCAGCCATAGCTGGCTTTTGGAGAATTCCATTGGGCAACCTGGTATCCACATCCTTGGTGAGCTGTTGGCTTTTTAGAAACAGACTTAGTTAACACTAAGGAACCCACAAGCTTTTTAGTTTTGACTCCAGTCCACGTGGAGACAAGAGTGACAGAAAATGAGAACATCTAGTCAGCCCTGCCCTCTGGCCCAGGTCTCAAGAAACACAGGCATGCAGATCAGCACTAGTGGCACTGGGGGACATGTGGGCTCTGAGACACAGAGCAGAGATGCAATAAGCCAGCTGTGTCAGTGAAAGTCTTCTGATAGAGCCATGGTTCCCTCCACCCTGGGACCACAGCTTCACAGCCAATATGGCCAGAACTTATGAGAGTCTGGCTTTTCACTGAAAAGAGAAAAGCTGAGGTCAAGAAACCTGCTTTTGGGCTGGGTGTGGCAGCACACAACTATAATCCTACCATTCTGTGAGGCTGAGGCTGGAGGGTTGAGCTCATCTTGGGCAACTTAGTGACTCAACAAGACCCTGTCTCAATATAGAAATACATTTTAACAAGTGCTGGGGATGGGGCTCAGGGCAAAGGGCCTGGGTTTCAATCCCCAGTACCACAAAAAAGAGAAACCTGCCTTCAAATAGTCAGTCACTATGGTTGTGGCTCACATCTAACATCTGGCTAGCAGGGAAACAGACGAGTGTCATTTGACTTTCCCATTGTTTCGAAGAGCCCAGACTTGTCACTTTAGGGACTCATGCAGAAGGGACCCTGTGCTCACGGCCCTACTCTTGTAATTTCTTTCCAATTTGAAAACTAAGGTTAAGAAGCCAGGTGCAAGGAACTTGTCACATAGCTGGCCCACCACAGCTGTTGTCCTACCTCCCATAAACCCTGAGCTCCACAGGATCCTACCTGGGTATCCCGCTGCGCCCAGAGTGTTACTTAGCAATGAACCAGAAGTATGCAAATGGAGCATGGAAGGGACACCTACACCTGGGCCACCAAGATCAGGTGCACTGCAATACTGCCTCTCAGGGTTGCCTTCCCAGTCCCCCTCTACCTTCTGTGCTATAGTGGCTGCTGGGTGGCCCCTGGGGCCCAGGTTTGAAATGAGACCCTCCCTGGCATCAAAGCTGGTCAGACCCACCACAGGTGCCAGCTCTACCTCCTTCTTGCTGGAAGTGCTTAGGACAGGACATGACTTGTCCTGATCACATCGATCAAACTTCACAAAGTACAAACATGAAGCTGAAAAGCAGCGAGGACACAGGAAGAGCACCAGATTCAGGTCAGAGGTGACAGTGCAGGTGTACATGGCATGTGGCCCTGACACTGCACTTGGTAACAATTTAAGTGAAGACACTATGAAGAATACAGTAGTGGTATCTTGCTCCTTATGCTTTTCTCTGCACATCTGAAATCCATTTAAATGAAAGTTCTGAATAATTAAATCAGCAAAAATCAGCACAAGACAGGTGCAGTGGCACATACCTGTAAATCCTGGATACTTGGGAGGCTGAGGCAGGGGATCACAAGTTCTAGACCAGCCTGAGCAACTTCTTTTATTTTTTGGTTTTTCTCTGGTACCAGGAACCGAACTCACAACATTGCGCTTGCCAGGCAGGCGCTTTTGCCGCTGAGCTAAATCCCCAGCCCCCTTTTTTTTTCTTTTGCTTTTTTTGAGACAGAGTCTCGCTATGCAGTTCAGGCTGACCTTGAAATGACTTTGCAGCCCAGGCTGGCCTGGAATTTACAATGATCCTCCTGTCTCAAGCTCCTGAGAGCTGGGATTACAGGTGTGTGCCGCCACGCCCGGCCAGCCTGAGCAACTTAGACCCTGTCTCATCCCCCAAAAAGGACAAGGATATAGCTCAGTGGTGCACTGTTTGGCCAGCATGCCTGAGGTCCTGGGTTCTATCCCTAGCACCACTAACCTCAATACCACCAAGTTATGGTTTGTGTCTGGATGTTCCCCCAAAGCCTCAGGCAGTCATGGGGCGGGCTTCTAGAGTTTTTGACTGATCATCCACCCAATGCTAGGATCAAAGGTGTGAGTGTCACACCTGCCCTGGGGCAGGTAGTTTGCATACAGTGTAAGGAAGGGAAAGAGGCTGCTTGCTGCCTCTCCTCTTTTTTTGTTCTTGCTGCTTTTGCTATCTTGTGCCACCTTGCCTTAGAGTCAGCTGATTATAGACTGAAACCTCCACAAACTGTAAGCTAAATAAACTTTTCCTTCCTTAATTTTGAGCATTGGGTATTTTGTCTCAACAAAGAGAGAAAAGTAACCAAGACATATCACCACCACCATGACCACCACTGCCACCACAACCACCATGACGACTATCACAGACTCAGCTCCAAATCACACCAGTAAAGTCCCTCCTTATCCTGGGCACAGCTGTGTGCCTGCTGGCAGACAGGTCAAGTACTATTTCCTGGCAAAGACTCAGCATCTGTGCAGCAGGCCAACTGTGTAGCCCAGCTTGCCCCCATGCTTGGTGTGTCTGTTGCAGAAGGGCTTCTCCCATAGTGCACAAATGCTTTGTTCCCATCCCTTGGGCCATGTGTGCTCTGACCAATGGGATGCCTGAGTTTCTCTGCCTACAAGTCTTATCTGCTTTCTCCAAACTATGACTGCGGAAAAGGGAAGCATTGTCAAGCAAAGCAAGACAGCAGGAAAATACGAGAAAGAAACTGCAGATCATCTTCCTGGAGATGAGGTCAGAATGTTTTGTCAGATTATAGAAACAAAGACCTATTGGCAAGGAGACAGCAAAGGAGTGAGGTATGAAACTAAAATTTACTAAGGGTCTGATGATTAACTTTCTACTGACACATGGGCCGTGCCCTGAATGCACCCAGAGCAGAGATCAGAAGAAAGAGAAACAGCACCAACACTTACGTCTCTTTCTGTATCCAGGCATAGCAAGAGTTTTCTAATCCGATGTTGTCATCCAGAGTAAAAAGAGTCTCAAGTTTGCTGGTCATGTTGGGACTTAGAATCCTGTGTGTCTGTGGATCCCGCAGAGGTGTCTGAAAAGTCACCTGTGGGAGGGTGAGGAGGATAGAGCACCTGTTTACAACTACACTGGCAGTGGCACGCAGGGCCCTGGTGAGCACACACCAGAGCCCACTCTTACCTTGGTGGCTTTAGCCGGATTCTTGGGCGGTACATTTTCCTTCTGTGACAGACCAAGAACAGATGTTCTTCCGGTAAGGGCTGGTGGCGAAAACAGGAAGTTGCAGTTTTCTGCATTTTTTTCATGGGCGACATTCTCATCATTTAAGACTTGCAGACTCATTCTACCAAAGCAGAACACACTTGCATCAGTGTGAGGGCAATGATACTGCACTGCCGAGACAGACACAACCTGTGGATGGAACATCCCCATGGTGACGGAGACGGAGGGATGTACTCTTGCTGAACAGGTGCTCCCTGTAGGTGGGGCTGGAAAGACTGGGGTGAATCCTGTCCTGCTTCAGGAAGCACTGCCACCTCCTGGGTCAAGAGCTAAGTGGGCTCAGATTGAGAAGAGAGAGCCAGTGTGGAGAAGAACTCCTACTGTGGCATCCTGCTGTGGGGCAGAAACTGGAGAGGAAACCCTGGCCACAAAGAGAACCAAAGAGCCAGAAGGAACCTGGGCTCTACAGGGGCTCTGCAAGTCCAGCATGAGGGGCAGCTGAGGCCAAGACCACAGAACAGGAGAGCAGGACTCAGTCCATCTGCACCCACCATGCAGAAGGGCAGAGATGGGAGTCAGCACAGGGAGAGGCTGTGGCTGACTGATTTGAGAAGCCCACTGTGGAGATGAGTGGGTGGACAGGGAAAGAAAGGAGGGAAGAGATGAAAGCAGTCTCCTGCAGCCAGCGGGGAGACCTTGGACCTGGCTTGAACATGGTACATGTGCCAAGTGAAACAACAGGAGTCACTGGCAATGGTAGGTTTTCAGGTGAGAAGCCTGGTTATAGGCAAGCGTGGGGAAAGAGCACTGGATGGCTGTGGGAAGCACAAGCCTAGGTCTCCAGGATACATGGATTAAGGGAAGTCTTTGTGGCAGGAAGGTGGGACAATAGTGAGCTCAACTCTTGTGATGGGGCTTTTGCTGATGATAGGCGCTCTGGGGCCAGCTGCACAGAGAAGTGACAAGCCAGGCTTGTGTTTTGATGCTCTCTGCAGTGCAGAAGTGTTGGGTAGGGATCCTGCCGAAGAGGCCTGGTGGCTTGACAGGTGTTTATGATCAAGTTCTTAGGACTTCCAGTCGGCCCGCAGGTGGGGTCTGAAGGAAGAGGTGTGGCTAGCAGAGAGAAGAAGCGGTGGCCCGGGCCCTGAAGGACCCTGATGCATACAATCGCTGGAGGATGATGGAAAAAAGGTAAGAGAAACTGGCAGGCAGAGGGCCGCCCGCTAGGAAGCAGAACAAAGCGTTTGCAAGAGAAGTCATCGGGTTCGAGGCTGGGGCTAGGTATATCAGGAGAACTGAGAGTGACAAAAGACCAGCAAGCAAGAAAGTGTCCCTGGGTCGGTGACAAAAGCCCGAGCAGGGAGACGCAGGAGGAAATGGAGTAGCCCTAAGAAGGGGTAGAGGAGTCCGGGTCTCTGCGAGGAGCGGCGGAGAGCAAGGAAGATGCTGGAGCCGGGGACCCTGCGGCGGAAGGTGTGGCCGAGCCGGCGCAGGGAGGGCAGGGCCGCGCCCAGCCCCCACCCGGAGGGGGGTCCAGGCTCAGCGGGGCGGCGCCACACGGACGGGCTCCCCAGGGCCTCCCAGAGACGCAGCCTGGCGGGGGTCGGCGGACTCGCGGCTCGGGACTGCAGTCGCTCCCGCGCCCTCTGGGCTTCCAGAGGCCACTGCCTACCTGCCTGCCGCTGCCGGGCTGTGGGCCCGCGCTGCCGACCGCCACGACGAAGGAAGCACGCCGCGCAGGGAGACCGAGCCGATGAAAGGCGATTCGCCTTTCCAGTTTGCGACGGCATCTGCCGCGCCCGAGAATTCAAATACCGACGGTTGGCGCCGTGTGGCCAATCAGCTCGCGGTCTGTGGCGGCACAGCGGGGAGCCCGCGACCAATAGAAGGCCGCATTGTACAGATCCGCCTCCTCGCGCACCAACAGTTCCGCTTCCGGGGCCGAGGGCAATTTGGGAGTAGCGGGCTGTTGGGGCTGTTACTGGCTGCTAGCGGGAGGGTAGCGGTTTCGGAATTCGCTATCTTCCCGGGAGTTTCGGGCTCTGCTGCGGACGCGAGTCTGCTGTACGTTGTGGCCGGGGCCAGAGACCCGCTTACTAGGGTCCAAGTTTTCTCAACTGTGTAATGAAACCAGGTTTAGCGCCTCCTGTAGGGTTACTAGTGACTAGAAACTTCCACCTTCGCGGGGACTATCTTGGCAGCCCACGGTGGAGGGGCGCTGAGAATCCTCCCAGAGTGCCCTGCGGGCTGCCTGGGAGGAGACTCGGTCTCCCAGAGGGCCCTGTGGGCGGTCTTCTCCCAGAGTGCCTTGCGGACTGCCGGGCCGAGGCGACTCGGTCTCCCAGCGTGCCCCGCGGGAGGCTCGCCAGACTCGGTCTCCCAGGGTGCCCCGCGGGAGGCCTGGTGGCAACGCGGGTACCAAAGGCAACGGCGACTGCAATGACCACAACCTGCCGACCTCCCAGAACAGGACGTGTCGGTTTCTTACCTGCTCTCGGGGCGGCGGCGCGATGGACAGCCCGGAGATGACTTTTACGCTGGCCTACCTGGTCTTCGCCGTATGCTTCGTGTTTACGCCCAACGAGTTCCACTCCGCCGGGCTCACGGTGCAGAACCTGCTGTCCGGCTGGCTGGGCAGCGAGGACGCCGCCTTCGTGCCCTACCACCTGCGCCGCACGGCCGCCACACTGCTGTGCCACTCACTGCTGCCGCTCGGTGAGCCTCCAGTGTAGGCCCGGGGTCGGCGCCGAGCCAGGCGCGGTCCAACACCCGGGGGTGACTGAGGCGCAGTGCTGGCCGCTGGCCCCGGGGCACCAGGAGGGGGCTGCGGGCAGCTCCCCCGCTGGGACGGGCCCCTGAAGCCATCAGTGTGGGTGGGAAAGGCGGCCGGGCCACCTGGGGGAGCGTGACCCTAACGCAAGCCCAGGTTGAGCGGGCAGGAGTGTTGGGGTCATTGCTTTTTGCAAGGGAAAGAAATGCTCCAAACCAGCGGCTCCAGTCCTGAGCCTTACCGACCCAGGGATGCACTGTGATGCCGTCTGTGTGGGGATGAGAGGGCAGCGTTGCCCTGGGGCCTGGGAGGAGAGCAGGTGAGATAGGCAGTTGAGTTTGGGGATGACAGGTACACAGGCCTCAGTGCCAGGCCAGGGCTGTCCAGGGCAGTACTTGGTGGTATCCCAGGCGCTAGGAGAGCCTCGGGGAGGTGAGTCTGTGAGCTGGTTGGAGGGTGGACTGAGGGCAGTGTTGGGACATGGCTGTAGCTAGAGGTGGGGAGCCAGGTGGGAGGCTTCTGGAAGACAGAGAAGGTTGTGACTAGGAGGACAGATGAGATAGGAAGTGTTGGCGTGAGGATGCAGCAGCCTGCACACTGCAGACCTGGAGGCAGATATGGGGTGGAGGCAGCCTTGCCACGGGCTCCCCATTGCACAAGTGGGAAACCCAAACTTGGGGAGCACAAGCCATACCAGGATGCCAGAGAAGATAGCAGAGCCAGTCTTACTGTCTCAGTGTCTCACCATCTTCTGCTTTTGAGTTTTGAAAACTTGCAAGTTTTATAGACACGTTACTTGTTGCAGCAGGACAAGTTATCTTAATATGTAGTGATTTGGCCAGAAACAAGCATTTCCTATCATATTTTGTGAGCTGCAGCCTGCCGGTGTGGTCCCTCACCTCTATCGGTCATACTGACTTTCAAGTTGTCCCTTATATGCACTGGCCCACAGGACCCTGAAGCAGGCCAGGGTGCAGGTCTGTTTTGTTTTTCTTCTGGTACCAGGAATCGAACTCACAACCTTGCGCTTGCCAGGCAGGCGCTTTGCCGCTGAGCTAAATTCCCAGCCCCAAACAGCAGCAAGGGTGCATTATAGGTGCTTTTATTTTACAATTTTACAATTTTAGGTTTTCATGTTTTTTCCCCAATGTTTATGCGTTGTATAAAACTTAAATTGAAGATATTTTCCCCTAACATATGGTACCAGTGCTGTGGTCACTGGCTGAGCCAGGCCTGCTGCAAAGGTACAGGGGTGGTGAGGCCCAGGGCAAATGACAAGAGGAAGTGGCCCTTTCCTTCCCCCACTCAGAGATGGTCACTACAGAGAGTGTGGCCCCTAGCAGCCCTGACCCACCCTGAGGTGCCTTCTTCTTTGCAGGTTACTATGTGGGCATGTGCTTTGCAGCCTCAGAAAAGCAGCTGTACTCTCCTGGCCAGGCCTCAGAGGCCTGGCAGCTCTTCCTCGTGCTGGCTGTGATGCTCCCCTCTGCTGCCTGCACGCTGATCTACTACTGGTCCCGGGATCGGTGGGCCCACCACCCTTTGGCCCGCACCCTGGCCCTCTATGCCCTCCCGCAGTCGGACTGGCGGGCTGTCGCCTCCTCCATCAACACTGAGTTCCGGCGTATTGACAAGTTTGCTACTGGGGCACCAGGTGCTCGTGTAATTGTGACGGACACGTGGGTGATGAAGGTGACCACATACCGTGTGCATGTGGCCCAGCAGCAGGACGTGCACCTGACTGTGACAGAATCTCGGCAGCACGAGCTCTCGCCAGACTCAAACCTGCCTGTGCAGCTGCTCACCATTCATGTGGCCAGCATCAGCCCTGCCGTGCAGCCCTTCGACATCCGGTAAGCACTTGGTGGCCTTCATGCCTCTCTGGGGCCTGTGTGACACCCTCCCGTGGGGCCCTACTGCCTCAGCTTCCACACATGCCATCCCTCCTGCTCTTTGAGCTGTCCCTGCAGCTTCCTAGGACATGGGGTTGGGGCTAGGTGTCACCTTGGCTCCCAGCTCTTCCTGTCCCTCAGGGTGGGTGACCATGGGGTCTGTGGGCATCTTTGCTGGTCACTGCTGTGGACACCTCCCCAGGGCCCCAGGTCAAGTGCCCATAGGCTATATCTCCCACAGGCTGAGCTCCACAGAGTACGGCGAGCTGTGTGAGAAGCTCCAGGCCCCCATCCGTAGTGCGGCAAACGTGGTCATCCACCAGAGCCTGGGAGACCTGTTCCTGGAGACATTTGCCTCCCTGGTGGAGGTCAACCCGGCTTACTCAGTGCCCAGCAGCCAGGTGGGGCAGATCTGAGGGGTGGGGTGGGCTCCCCTGGGGCCATATTGTTGGGCTCTTGTGACTCTTGTGCCCCTTGCAGGAGCTGGAGCCCTGCATTGGCTGCATGCAGACTCGAGCCAGTGTGAAGCTGGTGAAGACCTGCCAGGAGCCAGCTGCAGGGGAGTGCCAGCAGTGCTACTGCCGCCCCATGTGGTGTCTCACCTGCATGGGCAAGTGGTTTGCCAGCCGCCAGGACCCCCAGCGTCCTGACACCTGGCTGGCCAGCCGTGTGCCCTGTCCCACCTGCCGGGCGCGCTTCTGCATCCTGGATGTGTGCACTGTGCGTTGAATGTCACCGTGGGTGTTGGTGGGGCCTCTGGGGTCTGAGCCTGGCGTCCCCAGCCAGCTGCTTCCAGGAGCAGTTAGTGCCCTGGGCTCCTGCCAAAGGCTCAATGCCAAGCACATCATCTGCATCCCTCTTTCCAGGGCATTCAGCACCTTTTGCCTTTGGGTGGGGCAGGTGCTCCACATTGAGCTCTCCAGGGCCCAAGACCCTGGGTCTGACCAAATGGCCTTCACCTGGTCACGCTGCCTTAACTTTATGAAGCATACCTGCTCCCAGTTATAAGCAGGACTCACATCTGACCCAGCCTGCTCTCCAGCCATGTCTCAGCCTGGCTACTTACTGGCACACAGAGACTGCTGGGAGGACGTAGGGTGGAGCCTGGCAGTAGAGGGGAGAATGGGGTGCCACTCTTGTGTGCTGGCCCAGCCCAAGGCTTCCTAGCAGCTGCAGGAAATTAAGGGGCCACTCCTGGATCAGGAAGCAGGTGTGGCAACCTGGGGACAGGCCAGGTGGTTCTCGAAACTTCATGGGACCCACCCAGTGCCTGGAGGTCCTCACTGTGCTCTTGGTGCCTTTTCCTGCTCCCACAGACTGCAGAAGGCCAAAGCCTCAGACACCTACCCCAGGGCAGGGGGAGGGTGGAGGGGAGAGGGTGTTGCATGGCTAAGGCCTTGGGCGCCAAGGCAACATCTAGAACCATTTCTTCTGGGACAGTGGAGAGCCTAGGCCCCAAGCCTGGGTCTGCCTAGTTCAGGAGAGGATGTACCCAGTGATCAAGTCTCTGATAGGCACACTGCCAGCTCCACATGGTGCAGGTGGTAAATTGCCAGGCACAGCTCTGACACAGGTACGGCTGCTGGAGGTTCTACTCACACTGTGGCTCCGACCGAAAGCCCGACTTTGCTTCAGGTCAGGTGAACCCAGCCTGCCTGACTCCTAGCTGCACTTGGCCCTAGGTGAGCTCAGAGCAGAGCAACGGCAGTTCTATGGGGTGGGAATGCTGCGGGCGCTCTGGAGTCAGCAGAGTTTTGGGGACTGCCTAGGAGGGGCTGGGTGGATCGGGGTTAGAGTTACCGTAAGTTAAATTAGTTTTGTAAATAAAAATGTAGCTAAATAATACAATACTTAATAAAAGATTACTACTAAGTGCTGTAGTTTTTGCTTCACCTGACATTAAAGCCTTTGCAACATTTGGGGCAGTTGTTGGGGGTACTGGGAAAGATGGGTTAGGAACAATGGTGTGACAGCGTTTTGTCCAGAGGGAAAGCAGGTGGGAACACGCTGTGCCGGGGAAGGCCCTCGGTGGGATGCCTTGTGGAGCTGGAAGTGGGCAGGGGATGCACCCAGGTTGACCCGAGGACAGCAAGTGCCAAAGCCCAGCCCTCACGCCCAGGGCGCAGGCTCCTTGACCTGGGCCCCACTGCTGCTCTGGCTGTGACAGCCTCAGCCTTGTCCTTTCATACCGGGTCCAGCCCGGGCCCGAAACCCGCAGTACTCCCTGCAGGAGTTGGTGCCGGCCTGTGGCCACTGGCAGAAGGCAAGACTCATGGTAGTCCGGGGTTCCAACCCTGGGATTCAATCAGTTTCAGGCATCGCGTGAACCGAGTCCCTAAGCCGTGAGTACTGAGTCCGTGAGCGTCAGGACCGGGCTCGGGGCAGATCAGTGGTGGCAGTGTGCGACTGCGGACACCAGTGTACTGGTCATTTTTTGGCTGCCTCAGAGATTACTCCAAAGCTTTTAATGATTTAAAGCGACTGACCAGCCGGGCGTGGTGGTGGTGACCGCCTACAATCCCAGGGTCTCGGCAGAAGCAGGACGGTCCCTAATTTGAGCCCAATTTGGGCAGTTCAACGGTACCCTGGCTCAAAAAAAGCTGGGGATTAAGCTCAGCGAAAAAGCCGTGGGTTCAAGGTCAGTACGAGGAAAACGAAACAATCCAAAAAAGCGACACAGACCGTGGACGCCGCTGCGTGGGCGAAGCCAATCACAGCCCGCAGACCTCGCCTTCCGGAGTCCAGTGGGCGCGGAGACCCGCCCCCGTGCCCGGGATAATTAAGGCGCGCCTACCATGGGCGGACCAATTATGGGCACGCCCGCTCAGGTGAACCAATAGAAGGGCCGGTTGTCCCGCCCTTCCCGGGCGTCCGTGGCGCGCGCGGCCGAATCTCCCGCCAATACCCCTCCGCCCGCGAAGACGTGACCAATCAGTGCTCGGACATCCGCGGCGCTGGCCGCCTGCAAGCCTGCGGGGGCCGGTAGTTCCTCTGGCTTTCCTCAGCGAAGCTGGCGCCGTCGTCCCGCTTACCTGGGGGCAGCCTCCGGCGGCGAGGTTTTGCGGTTCTGTACGGTCTCTGGGCCTCTGTCCAAGCTCCGTCCTCCCGCGAGGCATGTTCACCTGAGCAGGCTTGCCCCCCGCCGGTGCGGGCCTAGTGGTCTCGCCCGGATCCGGCGCGCGGGAGAGTCGAGGGGCGGGGCCTGGCGCACTTAAGGGCGGTTGGGGGCGGGCCTTGCTGTGAGACCGGCCGCGTCGGCGCTGAGAACGTCTTCTTTCGCGCTGCCGCTATCCCTCAGTCTTCCGCCATGGCCTGCCGGCCTCGAAGCCCGCCCGGGTACGCCAGGTGAGCGGGCCGTGCGCGGCGGGCAGGCCGGGGCGGCCGTGCGGGCGTAAGGGGGTGGTCCCTGAGGTACGCGGGTCGGGGGAGGCGGTACGGGCGGGGACGCGTCCTGAGGTGCGGGGGCGCAGGGGCGGGTCCTCGGCCCAGTCCGACCCGACCGACCGCGCGCCCCGCAGCCCGCCATCCCCCGCGCGGTGGAGCCTCGGGCGTAAGCGCAGAGCCGACGGGAGGCGCCGGAAGCCGGAGGAGGACGAGCGCCGCGGCGACTGCAGGCCTGAGAGGTGAGGCGGGCGGCCGGGCGGGCGGCCGGGCGGGCGTCCGCGGGCGCGGTCAGGAGGTCCAGTCGGGGTCTTCCGCCTCTGCTCCCGGCCTGGAGAGCGCCTTTCCGGGGACAGGTGGCAGCAAAACTGGTTTCAACCGGCGCAGGTCAGTTCGATGTGTTGGGTTGCGAAGAGCGCCGGGGGCTTCCAGGGGACGCCGTTAGAGCCCCCACACGCCTGGTTGTCTGTTTAGCTCTGCGGGTCTTCGAGAAGTGCGTTGTGTCCGAGTCACAGAGGTGTTACGCTAGGCGGAGCTCGAGCTCGCACGTCGCCGCCTCCTGATGCCTCCGGGGCTCTGCGTGAGCGCCTCTGTCTCTGAGTTTACCTCGTGAGCGTCTTCTGGGTTAGCGTGCCCGGAAGGTCGGGGTGCGAGGTGGACAAGGTAGCTGGTGAGAGTGGGACAGGAAGGTAGAGGGTGATTGAGAGGGGCTTGGGGTGTGAAGGAAGCTGCTGGCGATGTGCGCAGCTTAGGGGAGAGTTTCCGGGTGAGCTTGTGAGCGGGGGTCGAGGGTGAAGGAAGCGATCCTTTGTGGCCAGGCCCTTAGTTTGGGAACGTGTTTGGTTTCCTTGAGAGTTGATAGAGCCTAAGGACACGTAGTGTCTGTTAAACTCGAAAGGACATAGTAACTTGGCCAGATGGGGCAGCGAAAGTGGTGGGAGCGTGGTTCAGGACACTTGAGGGCAGGTCACCTAGGACTTGCTGATGGATAACGCTGGAGGAAAGTCGCCAGAAGTTTTTGGGCATGTGGTGATTAGAACCCATTCTCCCAGTTGGAGAGGGTGGGAACCCAACAAACTTCATGTGGGAGAGGTTAGTGGGAGTCCCTAGTTAGGTTCATACCGCGCACCAGTAGTATTTACAGTATTTAAAGACTTGATACTGAGTGAATGTAGAGGAGGGCCTAGGGCATCTGCTAGGGCAGTCCTAGGCTAGGTACAAATTAAGTCAGGTCTTGTGTGGAAGGTTGGTGGTACAAATTTGTAATCACCCCCACCCCCCACTCTGGAGCCTGAGGCAAGAAGCTCAAGGCCAAACTAAATAACAAAAGTTTGGAGATCAGCCTCTGAACTCTTCCTTAGTGTCCTTTAGCTGAAGATCCAATAGTCTCGTTTAGCTGAAGATCAAATGTATGTTCTTAGCAAGTTTCTTAAAGGTATTGGTATTTGAACCAGAGCCCTGTAGTTCACAAGTGGGTCATACCTCCTCCTCCTTTCTCGAAAACAGCAGGAAAGAGTAAGCATCTGTTCTTGGCCTCCTCACTTGCTGTGTGCTCTGTAGAGCTGCCTTGTAGGCACCCAACAAGTACAACATCAGCATCTCTATGCTGGATGTGATGGTGGAGGGGAAGTAGTCCTGTGGAAAGAAGTTAACTCTGTGAAAGCGGGGTTGTCACATAGGGTGGACTGTGAATATAATTTGCCTAATTTGAGAAATGGACTTTAGCTTCACAAAAGGTACTGTGGTATACACACTCTTTAAATTGTTCTTGTAGGAGCTGGGTATTTAGCTCAGTGGCACGGTGCCTGTCTGGCAGCACAAAGTTGTGAGTTCGATTCCCGGTACTGGGAAAAAGAAAAAAATATTGTTCTTGTAGCTCAGATATCTGTCCTGGCTGGGAATTGAGGCCTGTTCTTCCTTCATGTGCTAGTGGGGATGATGGAGCCCAATCCAGCGCTGGGCAAACCTCCATTTGATTCCACTCTGTGACAGAATTATTAAGTCTGTTTAACTTTCAATTAGTTGCCGAATTTGATTTCAGACCTTTCCAACAATTTTTATATATGTACATACGTTTGTTTTGAGACAGGGTTGTAAGTTGCACATGCTGGGACTGAACTTGAGATCCTCCTGCCTCAGCATCTCAGAGGACCATAGGATTTCCAGAGGTTACAGAGATTCCAGAATTAGAGGATTTCCATTTTTAAAATCTGGAAATTTACCTTTAAAAATTCAATTTAAGTGTTTTTCTGCAGTATGATTATAAGAAATGATGCATTAAAAGGTCCACTTGTTATTTAAATTGAATGTTCAAAATTTTAAACATGGTAGCTAGAATATGTGAGATTGCATTTTTTTTGTTATGTAGTTGAAATTGGTGTGTAATTAAAAATTTGTGTGTTTTCCAGTATTAGGGAGTGAGCCTAGGGTCTCATGTATGCTAGGGAAATACTTCATTCATGAACTATATCCCCATCCTTTAAAATTATTTTGAGATGGGACTCACTAAGTTTCCCAGGCCAGGCTCGAACTTTGTGATCCTCCTGCCTCAGCCTCTCAAGTAGCTGGGGTTGTAGGTGTGCAGTACCATGGCCTGCTAGTATCTAGTTTTGGTGCACCAGAGAGGCCAATAGGAAAATGGGGAGGAAAAAAGGAAATGTAAGTCTATATTTAATCTATAAATAACAGGGCGTAGTTACAACTAGAATTTTTGGCACTTATCCTTGAGTTTTCATATTGCCAGTTTTCTGGACTTGGAGATAAAATTGAGTTCCTAAATTAGCTATAACCCAGGGTGGGGGATGTGGCTCAATGGTGGACTCTTTTTTTTTTTTAAATGATGGAGTCTTGTCTTGCATGTGCAATGCCTTGGGTTCGATCCCCAGCACAATAAAAAAGCAAGAACAAAAATAAAATTAACCCACTGTAACTGCTCTTTTACTGTGCAGTCCCATCTAAGTAGCAATGACTCAGGTATATAGATGTATATATACGTATATGTACGTGTACACATATACATACTTTTTCTTTTTTTTTTTTTTCCCTTTTTGAGACAGGGCTTCGGTATGCAATCAGGCTGACTTGAGCTCATTTGTAGCCCAGGCTGGCCTCGAAATTGCAACAGTCCTGCTTTAGCCTCCTGAGCACTGGGATTACAGGTGTGCACCACCACGCCTGGCTTTATACATTTTAACTGTGATGTGTGTTCCGAAGCATAGGCACCCAAAAGGTAGACCTTGTCTGCCTCTTCCTCAGTGGACTTGTGTCCTTATGATTTAGCCAGAGCTTACACACAGTGGGTGGGAAGAAGTTGTCTGATGATGTCCAGAAAAACTTGAAGAGAATTGTCCAAACTGAACTAGTAGTTGGAGCAGAAATTCTCTTTGCATTGACTTCCAAAGCCTGTGTTTTGGCATTCTGCCCAGCAGCCTGACTATACCCTGACCTATGGAAAGGAAACTGAAAGTACTTTCACAGTTCTGAGGTACTATCCATTTTATTTCAGCTTCACCACTCCTGAAACCCATAAGCCCCGACCTAGGTGCTCAGACTGGGCAAGTGCAGTTGAAGAAGACGAAATGAGGACCAGAGTTAACAAAGAAATTGCAAGGTACACAGTTTGTACTGCTTTGGATTTCTTTTCTTTTCTTTTTTTTTTTTTTTTTTTGAAACAGGGTCTGAAGGGTCTATGCAATTGAAGTTGGCCTTGAGCTCACTTTGTAGCCCAGACTGGTCTCGAACTAATGATCCTCCTGCCTCAGCCTCCCTAGCGCTGGGATTGCAAGTGTGGGCCACCATGCCTGGCCTTTTATTTTTATTTTTTTAATTTTTATTTTTGGCTTTTTAAGATAGTGTCTGTGTAGTGTAGGCTGGCCTTGAACTCATTATGTAGCCCACACTGGCCTCAAACTTGTGGTGATCCTCCTGCCTCAGCCTCCCAAGTGCTGGGATTACAAGCCCGTGTGTGTGGTTTTTTAAATTACATATCTAATTCAAGATAAGTCTCAAGAGTAGTGGTTCTCAAAAATATGGTCCTTAGACCAGTGGTATCAGGCTATCTTGGGCACTTGTTAGACATGCATATTCTCAGGGCCCTCTGGACGGCTTAGTGAGACTCTGTCTCAGTAAGAGGACTGGGAGATGTAATTCATTGGTAGAGCATTCCTGGGTTCAATCCAAGTCCCAAAAAAGTAATAAAAATAAATAATGCACTCTTAGCCCAATCCCCATTGCTTAGGAAGGTTTTATTCCTGGTAGCTGTTAGCTCTAGATGTGTTAATAGTTACTATTTTTCATACCTTTGTAAAACTGGCAATATTGTTCTCAGGTATAAAAGAAAACTACTCATAAATGACTTTGGAAGAGAAAGAAAATCTTCATCAGGAAGGTATGTGTTGCATAAACTTTTTTTTGAGATAGGGTGTTGCTGTGGAGTTGCTGGCTTGCAGCTCACTATGTAGTCCAGGCTGGCCTTGAACACATGTCGATCCTCCTGACTCAGCCTCCTGAGTGCTGGGATTACATGTGTGCACCACCATGTCCGACTAAACATTTCTTTGTAATTTGTGAATGGAAAAAAATTGGAACCGAGAAATGCTGATTGTTCTAATAGTGTTTGCTGGTTAATCTGTTCTTCACTGATTTGAAATTATTGTATTTACTGTGTACTAGAATCCCATATGTACAAAGATTGTAGACTGTACTGGGATTAATAGGATTGGGATCCAGAGGTTGAAAGAGCATTTTCTTGTCACAGTTTACATGGTGATCTTAATTTTTCTTGGTGATCATAATTTTGAGGTTCTTTTAATTTTTCCTTTTTTTCAGTTCTGATTCAAAGGAGTCTACATATGCAATGCCTGCTGATGTGGAAACAGATGAAAGTGTCCTCATGAGAAGACAGAAGCAGATCAACTATGGAAAGAACACCATTGCCTATGATCGCTATATTAAAGAAGTCCCCAGGTAGTTCTGTCTCATTGGCATGGCCTGAATCAGCCCCAGCATTGAAATTGGAAGTACAGTGCTGGCAAACCCTTCAGAAGTTTCAGTGGTACAGCCTGCTGTGGCACTCGAGCTCTGGGTTCACCACCATTGGATTAGACCCATGTACTGTGGGCCCTTAATGAATCCCAGGAGCTTGTGTGCAAATCAGTAGATTGGCATTTGAATGAAGATTAGAAAGTAATCATTTTTGAGCCTGGTGTGGTGGCACATGCCTGTGACCCCAGGACTTGGGAGGCTGAGGCAGGAAGATTGCCATGAGTTCAAGGAAGCCTGAACTATATAGTGAGACCCTGTCTGAGAAATAAATTATTTTTGTAATTTCAAGTGTTAGGTAGAATTTAATTGTCAGGATGCATAGCAACCTTATAAATGTTATTACTAAAGTCCACAATGGGAAAAAATGAAATTCAAGTTAAAGCTTATAAAAATTAGAAAAAATTGGCATCTCACTGTTTTCTGAGCAGCATACAGACCCTAAAGGATGCAAAAATTTAAAAAAGCTTGAGTTTTCGTAAACCTCTTGGCAGGACTGAGATTCCATTTTATTTTTCAGGAATACAAATTGCAAGGAATAGTAAGACAAAGAAATAGTGTCCCTTTTCTTCTTGGTGGTTTTCTGTTTTTGTTCTTGTTTTTGTTTTTTGAGATAGTCGTGCTTTGTGGCCCAGCTTGGCCTTGAACTTGATGCAGTCTTCCTACTTCAGCCTCCTCAGTAGTGGTGTTATAGGTGTCTACCACCAAGTGTACTTTTGTTATATTTTATTTCGCTTACTTGTAGAATCTCAGTTGATCTCTTAACTTGTTACATGTTAATCTCAGGGCTTGCTTAACCATATAGCGACTACAGATGTGAGTGGCCTGTGCTAGGGTAATCTTTCTCTTGCAGACACCTTCGACAACCTGGCATCCACCCAAAGACCCCCAACAAATTTAAGAAGTATAGTCGGCGGTCCTGGGATCAGCAGATCAAGCTCTGGAAGGTGGCACTGCATTTTTGGGACCCTCCAGCTGAGGAAGGATGTGATTTGCAAGAAATGTATGTCTTATGTTTTTTTCCCTCAGTTTCTCTGCTTGACATGGGCCGAGACAGTTGTGTGTTGTGATTATCACCAGGACTATATGGTGGCTTTATTTGGTTTGTGAGTGTGTGTGGTACTGGGGGTTGGATGTATAATCTCCCACTTGCTAGGCTAGTGCTTTACCTACCACTGACGTGTGCCATTGCTCTTTCTAAATTGTTTTTCAAGTCAAGGTCTAAGTTGCCCAGGCTAGCTTTGAACTTGTGATCATCCTGCCTCAGGTGTGTGTCACCATAGCTAGCTGGGTTTTGCTTTAATTGAGGGAGACTTCTTATCTTTTTCTTGTTGGTTTTTTTTTTTTGTGTGTGTGTTTTTGTTTTTCTTCTGGTACCGGGAATTGAACTCACAACCTTGTGCTTGGCAGGCAGGCGCTGTGCCATTGAGCTAAATCCCCAGCCCCTCTTGTTGGTTTTTAAACTTGTGCCTAGTTGGAAATATTCCATACCTGAGCTTTTGCTGCATTGCATGTTCAGAATCTGTTGACCAAGAATGTGGCAAGGATAGTGTTACGCTTGCTCCTTTTGATATTTTGCCAGCTCTCCTCTGGTCCTGACCTTCTGTCTTCCTCAGAAAATTCATCCCACAGGTATTTGAGTGTCTTCTTTATGCTGAGAAATTCAGAACAAACTGGCATGTTTGAAATGATTTTGTGTTTTTGAGACAGGGTCTCGCTCTGTAGCTCAGGTTGGCCTTGAACTCTCAGGGATCCTCCTGCCTCAGCTTCGAAAGTGCTGGGATTATAGGCGTGCACCCCCACACCCAGCTTGAAATGATTTCTGATATGGCTTTGCAAACCTTACCTCAGAGATGCCACAGCTTTTTCCCAGTGTGACACCACCATCCCATTCTCATGAGTGGGAAATTGGAAAAGTTAGTGATCACACATCATCGTTTCTTGCAGTGCTTTCCCCATACAATTTGAACTTATCAGTGAGGCGAGATAGAGTCCCTGGTACTGGAGAGGCTGAGGCCAGGAGGATCACAAGTTTAGTTAAGGCCAGCCTGGGAAAGGTCGGAAGATGCTGCCCTAAATAAAGAGGGCCAGCTCAGAGGTTGAGTGTTTGGCTGGCAGGCAGAAGGCACTGATCATCCCTTGAGCTGCAACCACTTGGAAGGGTGATTGTTGGTGGGAATAAATGATCGCAAGGGCTTGGAGCATGGCAGAGCCTACTCTTCAGACAGGACTAATGTCTAGAATTTTTAAGAATTCAACAAAATCAGACCTCCCCAAATAAAGACCTAATGAAAAAATGGGCACATGAAATGATGTCAGGGTTACAGATGTTGAATAGGTACATGAAAAAATGTTCAGTGTCTCTGGCCATTAGAGAAATGCTCTTTTGTGCTTGGAAACAACCACTGTTGAACTTGGTGTGTGCCCTCTAATCAGTACTGATGCTAATCTCAAGGTTGGTTAATGTTGTAGCTACTTTGCCAGTGGAACTGGCCTGTGCCCCAGTAATCTTTTTTTTTTCCTGCAAACACCTTAAAACTTAGCACAGATTCCAGTGCCCTCTAGAAACAATAGCTAAATAATAACAAGTGCCACTGAAGCTGTGGAGGAGGGAGGAATCCTTCTACATTGTTGGTGGGACTGTAAACTAGTACAGCCACTGTGCAAATCAGTGTGGAGATTCCTTAAAAAAAAAAAAAATACTGAAAATTGAAATTCCATTCAACCCAGTATTCCCTAAGTAACTTCAGAAAGAGTTAAAGACGTTAGTGATACACGCATACTCATGTTTATAGCAGCTCAATTCCTACTAGATAAATCGTGGAAGTGACCTTTACATCTATCAGCACACGGATCCAGAAAATGTGCTATTTATGCACAGTGGAGTACTACTCTGCAATAAAGGATAAATTCCATTAGTAGGAAAATGAATGCACCTTGACAGTAATGTTAAATCAGACACACAAGCTTAAATATTGCATGGTTGCTCTTACATGAGAAACCCAAATTATAAATAAAAGGCAAAATAGAAAATAATAGGAAACAGGGAGGTAGATCTTTTGCAAGTGGGAAAGAGACCAAGAATTGGGACGGGGAGGGAGGAGTGACAAAGGGAAGCAAAGAGAAAGAAGCTGTTGTAGCCATGTCCTAACTCCCCAGGAGGACTGCAGTCACTGCTCAGACATGGACAGTGAAAAGGAGAGAGCAATGTTTTCCTTTTATTTTTAAAATTAAAAAAAAAAAGAAAAAAAAGAAAAGGAGAGAGCATGGTAGATGCTGATGTGCTTGAGTTAGGCAGATTTTTGATTTGTAGTTGCTGTCTTTGTGCTTTTTGTGCTGAATGTATTGGGGAGAGGTTGAGTCTGCAAAAAGGGTGGGGTATTGGAAGTGGAGCTTTTGGGGAACTTGGGGAGCACGGTGAGTATCTGCACACCACTCAGCAGGATGCAGGTGGAATTTGCTCTAAGCATGCAGGGCTGAGGAGCCACTGTGACCCAGGCTTGCTGTTCTGGTGAGCCAGACACTGACCTACCTGTTGGGTTTCTTTGCAGACACCCTGTGGACCTGGGGGAAATGGAAACTGAATCCATAGAAAGCAGTTCTGAGTCCCAGGCGAGCTCACAGGATAACTCTGTAAGTGCTTTGTTTGGTTCTTTCAGCCTGGGTATCAAAGGTGAATTGTCAGTATGTGCTGAGAGAAGTTGGGATTCTGATATTATGGAAAAGGGAGCATTAACCATATTTCTCATGATTGGAATGGCAGATTCAACTTAGGCTTTTGATTCAGTCTGTTTTCTTTGATGGTAAAAGGCCATTCTCTTTTGAGTCCAGTGCATACCTGTGTGTTGCCACTGGCACTCAACTGTAGGCTGTTTGTGTTGGTTACTTTGTAGTGTAAGCATCACCTGCTGAATGTCACTAAGAGATGCTTTGTACTGTTTCTCTGCATTCGCTGATTTTTAAAGTTACGTGTCCCCCAACCCAACATCTTACATAAAAAAATCAGGTGAAAGATTAAAAACCTAAGGATTCATTGTAAGCTGTTAAGTTCCTTTGTCACATTCGAGCATACAAAGGCAGCGTTGCCTTTTCCTCCCCTCCAGCTTTGTCCTCTTGGAGCCTGGTGCCTGTCCTGACTTAGTGGCCATTTGCAACCAGAGAGTCTGGTTGTGACAACTGGGAAATGATGTGTTGCTCTTAGGAGCTGTGCCTCATCATGTTTTTGAAGACTATTTAATAATGTGGAGAAATTGTTAAGATGAGTTTAAAGAGGAAGTTTAACTGTAGATGAATATTTAAAGATTGTGAACTGAGCCCAGTTTTGAGGGTATTTATTACAAAGGGGGGTGCTTTTATAATTTAAAAAGCGCAACCCTGTGTCCAGTTGAAACACAAGGATGCGCCATGTGCAGCATCAGGTTAGGAGGGGCTGAGTCGTCCTTCAGGAAGTGAAGGGAAGGGGGCTAGGGTGGGAGGAGAGGTTGGGAGGTTGAGGCAGCTTCTGAGGGCTGCTTGTGCGGAGGGGAGGAGAAAACCTGGTCTGAGAAAGTGTCTAGAAAAGCACTGTCCTGCGATGGTCTGGTTACCTTCCCATATGTGTGTACTCTTTAACCTCTTAAAAATAGTGGTGGAGCTTGGCTGCTAAGTACTACCACTCGGTCTTCTAAGATCAAGGATGTTTTCTTGGGCTTACCATAATGTAATCATCGCATGCAGGAAATGGAACCTCAGTGAAGTACTCCTGTTAGTAAACTGCCTATATATACAACTTGGGAGGTACTGGGGATTAAACACAGGGGCATTCCTACCATTTGAGCTACATGTCCATTTGAGACTGGGTTTCTCCATGTTGTTTCTGGATTCTTTTTTTTTTTTTTTTCTGGTACCGGGAATCAAACTCATGACCTCAGGCTTGCCAGGCAGGTGTTTATGCCGCTGAGCTACATCCCAGGCCGGGTTTCTCCATGTTGCCAAGGTTGACCTTGGACTTCAGATTCTCCTGCCTTGGCCTCTCAAGGGTTGGCCTTACAGGCAATCTCCACTATGCCTGACCCAATCTTTTTAGCATTTCTCTTTTGATCTAACACTTCATATATCACATTTAAATTACACTAGCTCTTTAATTTGCTTTAAAATCTAGAAGAGGCTCTGCCTTTTCTGTATGTCTTTGATTCATCTTTTTGAAGAGTTTAGGCTGGTTTTTTAAGCTGAATGTCACGTTTGAGTTGTTGGGTCATTTCCTTAAGGCTTAGGTCAAACTAAATACTTTTGAGGAAGAATACAGTAATGGGGTGTGTGTATTGCTGATGTTAAATTTATAGCCAAGGGGCTGGGATGTAGTTTAGTGGGAGAGTGCTTGTCTAGCATTTCCCAGGCTCTGGGTTCAGTTGCCAGCAGGGGATGTATGTTGGAAAATGTGTTCATTAAGATAATCTGGAGACATCATTTTAAACGTGGTTACTTCCTCCCCTAAGATGGCCACCCTTCAGTTTGGTCTAGCCCTTTATGGTCCTTTTTACTCCTTCAGAATGTGCATACATGGGGCCAGGGAGATAGCTCAGAGGCATAACACCTGCCCTGGCAAGTATGAGGTCCTGAGTTCAATTCCCAGTAGCAAAAAAAAAAAGAATGTGTATAACTATACTTGTGGTGTCTTCATTTATGGTGTAGCAGCAAAGGTGCTTATTTGAGTCACCTGTGGAGGCCGGATGCAGAGACAAGCAGGTTTATTAGGGGCCAGCGGTGGGCACCCAGTACATGACTGAGCACCAACCCCGAAGGGCGGAGGGGAGAATAGTTATACAGTTCTACTTTCAGGTCTATGCGGGGGGTAGTACTGATATGATTTAGTGCAGCTATAGGAAGACTGCAAAGCATGGGCTTAGCTTGTGACAAAGGAACAAAGGTATTTGATATTTCACATAGGGGACAAGCAGTCTTATGACAGAGCATCGAGTGGTATGGGTTAGGTAACCATGACAACATTTACAAGAAACAAATTTAAGGAAACAGAACCTTAAGCTTTTTTTTTTGTCTTTTTGAGACGGTCTCCCTATGCAGTTCAGGCTGTCCTTGAGCTCACTTTATAGCCCAGGCTGGTCTTGAACTCGCCATGATCCTCCTGTCTCAGCCTCCCGAGTGCTGGGATTACAGGCATGCACCATCATGCCTAGCCAAACTTAAGCTTTAAAATGGCGCAAGAACACAAAATGGCATTGGGTTGGTTTTCTTTCCCATATCAATGGTACGTATCCTCTTGTAATATCATTATTAGTCTCCATTCTAGTCATAACTGCATTGGTCACTGCATTGGCATGTGTAATTTTACAGGATTCCAGAAGCTGTGGGTGCGGGATAAGCTGGGCTTGGGAAGGGGCCATCGTCAGTAACAGTTGTACTGTTGGCCTAGGGGTGAGTGCAGCTCCACAGCTGCTGGCTGGGCACTCAGCCAGTGGGGCAGATTCTTCCCAGGTCACAGTGGGGTGATAGCTGGTGCTGGGTTGTCATGGTAGCTCCTTGTCATGGAGGCAGCTGTGGCCCAGATGCTAAGGGGTTGCTTAGCTTGGGATTTGCAGTGGGAGTGAGCAGGTAGTTTAGTGTGTAGGAATTTGAAGCTTTCATTTAAATAAAGTTTGATGTCCATCATTCAGGAGCTTATTAGCTAATATTTTGAATTCTTTTGAGAGTGTCTTGCAGTCCTGTGGCCCTCACTGTCACTCATGCTCTTGTGCCACTGGTGAAAAGCCTGCTTGTGCTTAGGGTCACTGATGTCGGTGTGACCTCTGTGCTTTTGTCTTGTAGGATGTGTACTCTGGCACGCCCACCAAAGTTAGACACATGGATTGCCAAGTGGAAGATGAATTTGATTTGGAAGCTTGTTTGACTGAACCCCTGAGAGACTTCTCGGCCATGAGCTAACTGCCACCTGGTGGCCACTGAGAGAAAGTTGCCTCCACTTGGCCCTGGGAGGGCCAGCGAGGCAAACGCATGTGGTATGCACTTCTACCTGGATGGTGTCTCTGTTAATAATTCACTTATCTCATGATGAGTTGTCATTCTTGCCTTATTTGTACAGTGTGTGTTCTGCATGTTTTAAAATGTAAATGGACCTTAATCTGTGGAAGATTGAACCTGAAACAATCTTGATACAAACTTTAGTTGGTTAATGCCCACCAAGCTCCTTGCTGTAACTGACGAGTGTGCTTTGTCAGTTACTGCTTGTCCATGAATCCACAGTCAGATATGCCTGGGTTGTGATCGGACTGGATTCATGGGACCAATTCATGGGAATTAGCTTTCTCTACAGGTATCTGACAGTGTTCTCAGAGGCAGAAGTCTCGGGTGACTTTTTGAAAACTTAATTTCTGGTCTTTTATCAGTATGTCAAACTAAGTTTTGTTTCTCATATAAAACTCTGAAAGTCAAAGATTGTAAACTGGACTGTTAACAGGTTTTTATAAGTTATACAGTTTTAATTTGGTACTTGTAAATAGCCCTAGTTAGGATCTTAACCTATAGTACCTGAGAGTTAAGGGAATGCAGATTTAGAAAGAACTTTTTTTTTAACAGTCATTTAATTTACCGTGTAAAATTGCTGTAAATGATAACATGTACAGATTCTGTGTTCAGATATTCAATTGTAAACTTAAGACTGTTGTGTTTCTATTGCTTTTGTATGAAATAATACTGCAAAAATAAAAAAAGGAACCTTCTTTAACTGATTGATAACTGTGCCAGGTTGGCTTATTGCCCCAGTACAGTGCTCTTGTCTCCTTGACTTGTGGTGCTCACCTGGTGAGAGGATGGAGCCACTGCTGGGAAGTGGCAGCAGAGTGCCGCCATCCCCCACCACGGGCCTTAAGTCCCTGCCAGGCCTATCTGGTGACAGGTGTGGCTCTCTGATGGGCAATTCTGGCCATGTGTCAGTGCAAAATGTGCCATGTCAACATGTGCCTGGCAACCTGGGTTCTGAGAGCATTCTTCCCCTGGCTGGACCCTGGCAGCCCTGACCCAGACATGACTGTCAGCCCAAACCCATGGTCACATGCTGTAGGACACTCCCTCAGAAGTGAGGCAGAGGTGGGCTCTGGCAGCTTGGTTCAAGGAGTTTCCAAAGGACAGAATGCCTTGTGCACTTTTAGAAAACCCCTTTTTCAGGCCCCTAGGGCTTGTATCAGGACAGTTGCAGGTACCTGAGGCACAGCAGGGGACAGTGCCTGCAGGCAGGCTGCACAGGCTACAGGGTGCCCTGGTGGGATGTGCCTCAGGGTTCGATTGACAGGTGAGAGAGAGTAAGGTAGGGAATGTAAGGAGTTGCTGCTCTGTGTGTCACTGGTGATGAATACTAAGGTGGCAGAGCCAGGTTCCCTGTCAACCCTGGGAGGGCAGCTCCAATAGAGGCTCTGTGGGCAGTGTATGGAATCAAGTGTGGGGGGAGCTGGGAGGACTTGGGGTGTGGTTGCTGAAAGCCTGAGGAGCTGTGAAGAACATTGGGGGAGCCACAGTCTGGGGAGAATGGACCAAGCTTCCATTGCGACGAGGTTTGGGACACTTGGCCTCCAGCACATGCCTCAGGGCTGGTTGATCAGCTGTGGAGTGTTCTATGCTGATCACTGATAGACTGCTGGTTTCTGCTGCTTGTGCTGGGTTGATAGACTGCTGGTTCCTGCTGCTTGTGCTTGGTCATAGGCAGTGGTCAGCCAAGGGAAGGAGCGCAAGAGAAAGTACAGAAGGGTCAGGATGTTCTCAGCCTCCCCTGTTGGCAACAAGGTTAGTGTTCCATAGGTGACTGCTAAGCAAAGCTCCAATCCAGAAAGACCCACACTAAAGCTGAGAGCGTGGCTATTGAGTTCTTTGTTTAAGACCTTTCAGTGTTGAAGACTTCATAAACAAAAGGGGCCAGGTTTGGTGTTGCATGCCTATGATTCTAGCCCTGGGGAGGCTGAGGTAGGAGGGAGCAGGAGGATCACTGTGAGTTCAAAACCAGCCAGGGTACATAGTGAGCTCAAGGCCAGTCTGAACTACATAGTGAGATCCTGTTTTTTTTTTTTTTTTTTTTCCAAAAGAAAAAAATGTGGCTGTCTAGAAGTTTGTGAGCCTGTGATAGGGACTTGTTTTGAAGAGACTTGTGGATGACGCTTTAGTCTATAAAGAAGTGAACCACTGGTAAGATTCGCAGGAGTTTGACAGAGCTTTCAGAAAAGTGACTTTGACAGAAACACTACAGGTGGGATGGAAAGGTAGTGGACATGAAGAGAGGCCTCAGGACCCTCAAGAAACTACCAGCAGGAGGCAGCCTGGGAAAAACTCAGCTGCACAAAAACCAACTTCATTGAAAAGGATGGTTCTGAGGGTGGCCAGAACCAGTCAGAGGCCTGGAGAATCACCAGCAGAGTGAGGACTGAACACATAAGACTGACCACATAACATGTGCTGGCTGGACCGCAGGTTTATGTGGACCAGCTACCCAGAAACACATGTCTCCTGTTGGATGTTGTGGATCAGGTGAGTCGTCAGACAGTTCACAGAGAGGCGCTTGCCCCAGGTGCTGTCCTCATGCACAGCTCAGGAGCCTGGGGTAGGGGCTGGTTCCTAGGACACCCTGGACCCAGGCTGATGCTGTAGTCGGATGACACTTGGAGGCCTCAGCAGGGGTTGAGTGTGTAGCTTACATTTTGGAGGACAATAAATTGTGTCCAGGAGAGGTGGACTGTAACAGTCTTTTTTGAGACAGAGTCTTGCCATGTAGCTCAGGCTGGCCTTGAGCTCACTACATAGCTCTGGCTGGCTTTGCTCACAGAGATCCTGCCTCAGCCTCTTGAGTGCTAGGATTACAGGTGTGTACCATCACATCTTAAAGGAGGGCAATGGGTGTCTTCACCCAGCTAGGGTGATGGGTGACATCAGGTTGTAGGGAACTGGGGGGACTTCAGCTCTGCTGAGGCCTCAAGCAAGGGATGTGACCTGGGCTCCTAGTTTTTACTTCACATTTATATTCTTAATGTGGTCTTAAGCACTATGGAAATCAATCAGTGCTGTCTACATAACCTGGTATTTTCTGTTTGAGTGTTCAAATAGCCAATAGAGTAGGATCCGATTTCTTTGTTCTTGACTCTTGTATATTGAACCAGGAGGTGTCACAACTAAATGAAGGTGATCCGGCATGATTAATTCTTCACCATCCCAGGCTGATGGCTCTCTCAACCCCATTTCAGGCGCCTCCCACTTGCCACACATAGACAAGGTCCAATTATGAAGATTGTCATCCCAAGTTTACATCCCCAATGTTCTTTCTCATTGTGTATTGCGAAACTGATTTTGTCTTTGACTCCTGTTGGGATCTGTCACTTCTTCAGCAATTCTGCCAAGTTGCTGATTACTGTCCCTGTGGTAGGAAGATGGCAGCCGAGTCTCAGGTGAGCCATCACCCTCTGCCTGACTGGGAGCCCAGACACCTTGGGTGCCCTGCATCCAGCGACAGTTCTTTGTGGAGTACATAGGCTTCAGGGTGGTGGTTTTGTTTGGTTTGTCTTTTTGAGACAGGGTCTCATTACACAGTTCAGGCTGGCCTTGAGCTCACTTTGTAGCCTGGGCTGGTCTCGAACTTGCAACAATCTTCCTGTCTCACCCTCCCAAGTGCTGGGATTACAGGTGTGCAGCACCACGTCCAGCCTTTTTTTTTGTTTTTGTTTTTCCTTTTAACTATTTAAGAAGTCTAGGCAAAGTCATGATGTAGCACTCAGCAGACTGAAGGACCTTGCCACTTGGCCTGTTGGTTTTCTACTTTGAACTGGCTTGGCACAGTGTGCATGTAACTTTATGTTTAAAAATCTTGGGGTTTTTTTTGTGTGTATGTGTGGGTGTCTCTTTTTGAGACAAGGTTTCACTCTGGAGTTCAGGCTGGCCTTGAGCTTATTTTGTAGCCCAGGCTGGCCTTGAACTCAGTGATCCTACTACCTCAGCCTCCTGAGTGCTGGGATTACAGGCATGCACCCCCATGCCCAGCAGGTTTTTGTTTCTGCAGTCTTTTGTGTTTTAATGTGCAGACTTTAATTACACCTAAGCCTATAAGACTCAGTTTAAAGGAAGTTTTCTACTCCTGAGCAGAGGAGTGCTGTGTTTGAGGACTTCACACATGAGGTTCCATCACAGGCTGACTCTGGTACCTGAGTGCCTACCACCTGACCAAGCCCACAGGGGGACCTTGCAGTGTGCTGTTACCTGCTACCCTGTCCCATCTTGTTTATTCACACCTGCATCTGCTAATTGGGCATGGTGGTGCCTGCTTCCTGGGTATGTGAATGAATGTTGATCAGTTAATGCTGTCCTCGTTGAGACCACCTCCAGCACAGTTGTGCAGCTCCGCTCCTCATCACTGGTCCTGCCAGTGGGTGAGTCAAGGGGTCTCCAGGCAGGAGTGGCAACAGCAGGTGCCCAGCACATGCAGAATCTGCTGTGGGTGTCCCGACTGCTTCATGGAAGCTGAGGGGTGAGGAAGTCTGCACAGGGAGAGGCCAGGTTACCCAGCCTGATGCACATGGTACAACTAAAGTTTGATATAAATCAACAATATGATACAACTAAAGTGAGAAAAAGAAATCCTCAAGTTTTTTTCTCCCAGTACTACCATAAACCCCAAAATGCTCTGCCACTGAGCTATATACCCAGCCCTTTTTTTGGTTGGGGGGTGCCGGGGCTCAAACTCAGGACCTCGTGTTTGCCAGGCAGACTGCACCACTGAGCTAGATCCCCAGCCCCTAGCCCTTTTATTTTTATCTTGAGACAATCTAAGTTGCCCCAGCTGATCTTGAACTTGGCATCTTCCTGCCTCAGTCTACTGTATACAGGCATGTACCACTTCACCCAATTTAAATCCATAATTATATTTGGAAATTTCAGTAGTCCTCTCAGTAATTATCAGTAGAGGCAGAAGAATCACAGTTTGAGGCCAGCCTGGGCTATATAATGACTTTAAGGTCAGCCTGGACTACATACAAGACCCTCTCAAAAAGCCAAACAGAACAACAAAAAGATCACCAAATATACAGAGGACTTGACACACTGTCAACCACTTCCACCTAATCCCCACTAATAAGTTGCCCCACTCTTGGTCAGCATCAGCTCCTGCTTTAAAGTACACCCAAACTGTCCTCAGCATAGACTCATACTGGCTGTGAAGCCGGCTCAGCACATTGACAAGGATTGAAATGGCACAGAATGAAATGCCGTTTGAACAAGTATATTTAGCAGATAATCAGAAGGCACATGCCATAAGACAATAAAAATATTGATCCATTGAACATTACCAAAATTAAAAACACCTCTTCCCGGCCCCCCCCCCGTACTGGGAATTGAACTCACAACCTCATGCTTGCCAAGCAGGCGCTGTGCCATTGAGCTAAATCCCCAGCCCACCAAAAACACTTCTTAAACTCTAAAAGATGAAAGGCAGCTATGGAAAAGAGTGGCAGTTCCTCAGAAGGTTCACATTGAAGGCTGGGAGCATAGCTCAGGGAGGGAGCCCTGCCTGGTGATCCCTAGTGGCACCATGCAAGCAAACAAACACAGTGGCCATGTGACCCAGCAGCTCTCCTGGGAGTATGTGTATGCACGTAATAGTTAAGAACAGGAATGCAACAAAAATGTGCACTGGAATGTTCACAGCAGTAAAATACACTGCTGACAAAATAAGAGAAAAACTTTTTGAGAAGGTCTGGGTATATAGCTCAGGCTGGCTTTGAACTTACCATCCTTCCTCAGCTTGCCCCTAGAGCTGGGATTAGAGGTGGGGACCTCCACCCCTGGTTTAAGAAAAAGGAAGAAGTTTGACTCATGGTCCATGAGCTGAAGGTTCCATTACTTTGGGCCTGAGGAGAGGCAGAGGTCATAGAGGAGGGACAGTGTGGAGGCTACGACACATAAAGCAAGGATGGGGACACCCACAGTGAGCTACCTCCTCCAAGCAGCCCCTGCGGTGTGTTTCCACCCCTCTCCAGGTGGCTGTGAATCCTCATTGGGTTAATAAATAATCCACCGAGAGGACCATCAGCCACCTCGTGATCAGTCACTTTCCTAAGGCCCCTTCCTAGGGCTGCTGCACTGGGGACCAAGTCTTCAACACATGCGCCTTTGGGGACATCCCAACGACAGAGCCAAACGACAGCCTCCTGTAACAGAATGTGCTGCTTTACTCCTCTCACGAAGCTCTGTCCCCATTAAACAGGAAACCCCTCCCACTGTCTCTGGTTGATGGCTCCGGGGCCTCCTTTACCACCCAGGATTTGTCCCTTTTTTGGGGGGGGCGCGGTTACCGGGAATCCAACTCAGGACCTCATGCTTGCCAGGCAGGCGCTGCCCCACTGAGCTAAATCCCTGGCCCCAGGGATTTGACCTTTTGTGACTGATCATTCCTTCCGCCCGGGCCCCCAGGTCTGTTCTTGCTGTAGCTATGCTCATTGACAGGGTTTTGTTTCCTTCCGCTCTCTCCTCACACTCTGTCCCCCATCCAGACGTGTCGCCAGCCAGCAGAGCTGATGGCTAGGACAGGGCTGCCTGGAATCACCGTGCTTATTTTCTCATCTGTAAATGGAACAGCACTGGTGGGCTGCCCATAGGAAGAGGACTGACCAGGTCTCCCATGAAAGGAACTTGGTCTGGCCTGGCGCCCGGGACACTGCTCCGATTGGATACCTGCACCGGTGGTCCCCGGGCGTTCCCAGGCCAGCTGGGCTCCCGTGGAACCAGTTGCCCGTCTGTCGCCCACACCACGTCCGCCCTGATATCCACGCGTGTCTCATTCACATCGCCCTGCTCGTGTTGCTGCAGGTCTCCAAGTGAGACCCGAGAGGAGAAGCGAGGAGACACAAGGACACACAAGGAAGGTGAGGAGGCCACCGTCACGTTCCCGAACAGTGGTGACAGGGCCAGGACCCCGCCCTCCGATCATGGCCCCGCCCACAGCCTCAGGTCGCCGCTGCCTACCTTCGCGGCGCGGAGGATGATGTCACTACCGGCGCACGAAAGGACAAGGGGCGGTGTTCTGGTATGGGGCGGGGCCAGCGCAGGCGCACGCCGTGACCGCGCGGTCTCGGGGCGGGGGCCAGGCAAGAGGTCCCGCCCATCCTCGGCTGCGTTCCCCGCCCCCGGCGTCGCCCACGCCCACCGGGCGCTGAGGGGCTTCGGCGGC